GGCTTGTGCCTCATTCCTTCCCCACTTCCTTCCACTTACCCTCCCATCCCCCTTCCTGATGTCAAATAAAATACACGTATTTTCATGAACACAAGCTCTCTTTATTTAACGATACTGGGTGGGGGCGGATGAAACTGGTGAGACTGGAGAAAGGAGGTGGGAGAGAGGAGGAAAAAGGGTGGGAGAGGGGAGGGGGAAATGTGGGAGGAGGAAAGTAGAAGGGGCAAGCATGGGGAAGAAGGGGGAGGGGAAGCTCAGGGTTGGGGGTCTTGCCAGACCAACTTGATTTTTATACGAACCTGCTCCTGGGTTCACATGTGGCCTTTGGTGGCCAGGCTGGCAGCTATCCTGCCATAGACAGCCGCATTCCTCTGTCTAGTGCGGAGATCATGGACAATGGGGGTATCCCCCTTAAATCTGAATAAGGTCCACCCTGATCTTCACCCTGGACCAGGAAGGCGCCCGCCTTCTCCAGGCCACTGGCTTGTTCATGTTTTGGGGCCACTGGGTCAGGGGCAGTGACTGCTGGCTCTGGGCTGGCAGGCGTGGAACTGGCACAGGCACTGTGGCCAGAGTCAACCCCTTTAAGGGCTCTGGGGAGGGATGGAAGGGAGATGAGTGTTCTTGTTTGAGGCTGGAATGGCCACCGGGGCACCCCGGGAAGGCTGGAGGCCCCCTATTTCGAAATAAGTGTCTACACAGCACTTATTTTGAATTAGCTATTTCTTATTTGGCATTATTCCTCATAGAATGAGGTTTGCCAAATTTGAAATAAGTGCCCCAATATTTCAAATTTATTTCGCAATAGCGGTGTGGCTGTACAGACACTAGTAAAGTTAATTTTAAATAACGGCTGTTATTTTGAATCAACTTTGATGTGTAGACATCCCCTCTAGGGATTAGCTCTGCTATTTGGTGTACTGTCTTCTGGTGGCATCTTGCTACCATCATTTTTGGTCCAGGGACTCATGTCACTCCCAGTATTACAGCATCCTCTTCACAACACAGCCGTCTGGTTATGCTGCACTCTAGTGTCCCCCCTGAGAGAGCTGGGAATCACATTGCCGTCCTTTAGTCCAGGCATTTCCTCACTGAGGAGTGGGGGTGGGGACCCATACTCACCCACTTCTCTGGGTGAGTAGTAGATGGCCTCCACTTACTGCATCTCCTCTCAGCACCTTTCCCTGGGCCCCTTCCCTGCAGCCCCAGCACCTCCTTTGTCCTTTTCTTAGGGCCTCAGCCTGTAGCTTCCTGCAGTCCATCAGGAACTGCCTTTAGCTCGCTGGGTCTTTGCCTGCAGTACCTCTATGTCCAGGGTGCTTGCTACCCTCTGCCTATAAAACAGTTAGCCCTCCCTTCTCAACCTCCAGGTAGTGATTGCAGCTGTGCTGTACTGCAGCTTTTCTTATATGGGCCTGCTTGATGCTGAGGCTACGTCTACACTGCAGGCGTTTTGCGCAAGAAGCTTTTTGTGGAAGAGATCTTCTGCAAAAACTTCTTGCGCAAAAGTGTGTCAACATTACAAAAGCGAATCCGCACTACAAAAGCACATCACGAAAACAATGCTCTTTTGCACAAGTGAGTGTCCGCACTTCATAGATGCTCTTGTGCAAGAAAGCTCTGATGGCCATTTTGTTAATGGCTATCAAAGCACCTGTGCTCAACAAACCCCTGCTGAGCATCCACACACACCTTACGCAACAAGGCATTTTTCCTCATAGAAAGAGGTATACCTACACCACAAAAAGCCCTCTGTTCTGCTGTTCTACAGTAAATTTTCTTGTGCAAAAACGTGCTTGAGGTGTGGACGCTCTGTGGGTTTTTGTGCAAAAACCTTGTAGTGTAGATGTAGCCTGATTGGGTGCCTCTTGTACGGCTTCCCTAGGGCTCTATTAACCACTCCTGAGAGCCCAGGGTAGGGACAGATATCCCATCGCAGTATCTGAGGGAAATTCTCCAAGAAAAGTTTTCCAAAAAGGTATGCACAGACATGCAATATCTTGAACAGTTACAGAAATATAGATAATCATTTTAGCTACTATGTATTTGAACAAGTTTAGAATGAACCATGCTAAGCATTGGGATATATGACTACTAATCCTTGGATGGCAGTTACAATTCATGTATCATAAAGCTCTTGGGACAGAAGCTCTATTTTCTACAGGTACAATACTATTCAATAAGCAATTGTCACTGCTATGAATGAGAGAGGTTTGTTTGGATACAGCCAATATCCTGCATAACTGGAAGGAGGAAATGTTATAATATTTTAGCCACAGATACAATTTCGCAGTAAGTGTTTTTAATTAAAAACAATTAGTGACAATGGTAGTTCTCAGAGTAAACATTCCACTAACAAGATTGGGGAAGACAGGTCTTCAAACTCGGGAAGACAGCATTTAATTGAGTCATCTTCAATGGCATTCAATCTAAAACACTGAAGCTTAAATTCTGCAGATTTTTTTAACCAATTACTTCCCCCCCCCACTATGAGTGTATTAAAGTCACTAGTTAAACCTCACAAGAATTTTGTGAGTAAGCTCCTAATTGTCTCCACTTTACAGAAGAGGAAATGTAGGAAGTACTCTTTAATACCTAGAGACAGAAGACTTAAATTTAGTATTAAAGCATAGTCACATAGTAAGGTTTTATCTTACCTGTGTAGATGGAACCAGATTTAAAATCATTTTGATTACTCCCTTTTTGTACAACAATCATCTATCTTAGCACCCAAAGGGCTTTCAAAAATTGCATTCAGTTATGTTATTCTAAAAAGCAGTATTTGGCACGCACCAAGAATTTGTTCGGTCATTTCTTCAAAGGAGGAAATTAGCAAGTTCTCTTGTACATCATAGTGAGGAATCACACTTTCATTGTAAGCTCTTGTCTACATAAACAAACTTACACCATCTGTTCATTTCTACTCACTTTCCAATTTCATTAGAGGAAAAAACGCCCTCCTATCCTTTTCTATTTTTTTTTTTTAATTTTAAGAGTGAATTGTTCTCCTACGGTATGTCTACACTTGCACCCTCTTGAGAGAGGGATGCAAATGAAGACATTTGAAATTTCAAATGAAGCTGGGATTTAAATATTCCCGCACTTCATTTGCATATTCACGTTACGGCGCTATTTCGAAATAAGACGCGGTTATTTCTAGAGAAGAGTTTTATCTCGAAATAACCACATCTTAACAGCATTGGTTATTTTGAAATAGCGCCATAACGCAAATATGCAAATGAAGCACAGGATATTTAAATCCCAGCTTCATTTGAAATTTCAAATGTCTTCATTTGCATCCCTCTCTCGAAAGAGGGTGCAAGTGTAGACATACCCTTAGTTGCAGCACTTCTGCTATGTACAGTTCTCTCACTTGGGTTTGTGGGCACAAACTTGTTCTGTTGGCGGGGAATTTATTTTATAAGAACTCTCCCTTCGAAGCATGACTGCCTTTTCTTCTTTGCAGAAAATCAAGACAATCTTATATGTATCCACCACTTTAATTACACCTG